TTTCCTTTGTTTAGACTGGTTTTAGAGCTCGATATCACACTAAGAAAGTTGATAAACCACACTTCCATTAGGTATTTTGCTCAAAGACTGTTTAAATCGACTCAGCCGATCGACCTGGGTCAAGCCTCTAAAACAAATGGTCGAGATGGTGTCTATTTGGGGCGGGCCCAAAAGTACTAACTATTGGTCGGCATCGAAACCTGCTCGACAGTCCCTTCATCTTAAACATGCATTTCCGTGTTGTTGTCCGGTAATATTCTACACACGACATTACAGTTACCTATTCAATGTGGTAAAAAATGAGGTCATTTGTAGTTGAAGTATAGAGTTCGCAAGAAAGCTACTTTTTCAAAATATGACATCGAGAAATCGAGTCAACTGGGAATCAAACTTGGGGCATTTTACTTTTTGTGATGCACACCATCGTTTTTGCCGCTCGATCTGATCCAGCATTATTCATACGGGTCATCTTCCAACTGCATAACAACATTCAATGAAACAATAATCTGTTACTTTCATGGCATACCCCATTCCTAAACACGACAGTTTGATACTTCTATCATTGCTTGTCCAGCGAAAGGTACAAGAATATTATTAATTCAGCGCAAGTAGGAGATGTGACCACAATCCTTTACCCGCTCATCTCCACTCTCTACTTACCTTATAAGGGACTTCTTGTCTTTCCATGGGGCATGTCTTGCACTTTCCTTGCACTCCACCATGTGCCCATCTCACTCTTCTTGAACTTAAGCGGGGCACCCGCAATCAATCTTCTGACATATACATACTAAACCCAGAGTTGCTCAGCTTGTAAGGAAAAAGTCAGCATCCCTTTTAGGTGTGCTTACCCTAATTTGATAAGTGAAAAACACTAAAGAAAAGGTCGTATTTCTTACAGGTATCTTCTTAGGTGATGTTGCAGTAGGTAAATAGTGAGTGAGTGTGTGTGCGCGTGCCCGTGAGTTTTGCACTTTTTGATAGGTTGCGGACTTTGGCCTTTTATTCCTCAATAAAAGTTGATGAGTCAAAACCTAACGCAGAAGAAAAAGTTGTTACTAACCTATGTCTGAGTTGTTCCCCACCTTACAAGATCTTTTCTTCTTCTTCTTCTTTGATTCGGCGGCCATCAGGATTGAAGGTTAGATCTCATTCGTATAGTTATAAAGTGGACGGATTCGCGTTGCCCTAAACGAGAGACAAGTGTAGATTTTCACTCGATGATAATGCAAAAAGCCCTTTACACGTATCCATCGCAACCTCCTTGTTTGCTTACGCACCTGTTCGTCAACGATTGGGGTACTGTAGTGAGCCAGACTCATCCGACCCAGAATTTCATGACCATCACACATTTTGGTGCTTTCAGTTTCAGCTCCGCTCTCTCCTACGAACATCGTTCTTGATTTGGTTCTGCTGTGGATGGAAAACAAACAAGAGAAGAAAACAAGAACACACTTCACAAGATCTAATTTTCTAGTCCCGATTCATTGGCCACTGTTTGTCTCTATCTATCTCTCTCTCTCTCTCTCTCTGATTTCTAAGCTTGTCTTGTTAATAGGAAATGTGCGAGCATAAAAAGCGCAGATTCTGAAGTAATTTATCATAGGATAATGCTAGATATACTAATATTGGTTTACAATATCCGTATATTAACTAATACAACGGACTGTATCTGAGCCTCTAAATGAAAAGCCGATTGTTAATTAACACCTAAGAACAACACGTTACGTTATGCTGGTATCCCCATTTTGAAAATCAGTTTTAGATTTTTAACTTGTATATCTTGCTATCAACATCATTTGTTAATCATATATATCTTCATCAAGCGGCTTGTCTGTACCATGCACAGAGAAACGTGGACGCTAATGGCGCTTTGTTGTCATACATGGCCTTTGGCCGATGTACAGGAAGATGAATCTTTAGACATTATCAATCTGATCGAAACCCTAATGGACAGAGTGTTAGGGAATACTTCATGTCGCATCATGGACAAAGGAAGATAAGATCATATTGAATCAATCGTGATGAAGATTGCAGGTGGAGCTGAGCAAGCTTCCAAAAGCGCAGCAAGTGTGTGATGAGGAAGAACAATCTTGGCATTTTCCTGATGTTTTTTGCTTCAATTGTGGGGGCGATGATTTCTTTACGAGAACTCAAGAAGACATGACAAAGATGGGCCACTTGTTCTCTCCTTGAAGAGCTGGATTTGATTGAGTAGAATGATAGATTCCACTGTTAGGTGAAACATTGCCATCAGTCACTCCTGTTAAGATTCCGATCGGCCAAGATTAACACCACACATGGATAATTCTAACTGGATGTTAGGATCGACCACATACATACTCCACCTTATGAAATGAAAAGTGTGTTTTTTATAATTCAAAAAAAGGAAAATGTATTATAAATACATGCGGAGGCAATTATCCAATCAACGCTAAACATATTATACGACGTGTCATGTGAGTCGACTGGCAATGACTGGACCGTCGCGACAGTGATTTCCGACGAAAATTAATCAAAATGATTGCATTAGAATTCCACACAAAGGTTTAGGAGGAGCAATTTGGTGGAGAATATTATAGTTGTGTGAATCATCTCGAGTGACTGGGTAGAGCATCAGGGCAAAGGCCAATTCAAGCTGTCTAAAGAGAAAAAGGCGAAGTTCATTGTACAATTTCAGTCAGAAAATTGATGAATTGCCAGCTAATGACCCATGCATCAAGACCCCACATATGTCATTGTACAATGGATTCGGTAATATCAAAGAAATTTGTTTTTCGTAGCCTATAACGTCATGCTGATCCACATATGTCGTGTACAGTTATGGATACGGTTATACCAAAGACATTTATTTTTTTGTAGCGCTTGAGTGGTACATCATTCACCACATTTCGCGCCTTCCGGACCCTACTTCGATCATAAATTAGGCCATCCACATTGGCACGCGAGTAGCCATTTATTCCTCGTGGTATGAGGAACGTCGTGGTGTTTCTCAGGGCATATGATCCTAATTATTTTGTCATTCGACAAATTTAATAATTATCAAACTTGCATCGAAACCCAGAGATGAACAACCTTTCATGTGAGAGAAATGGTTACTAAGAATCACAACAAAACGAGTATTTTGCTAACATCTACAACACTCCTAAACATGCGTCCATTGATAATTGACATGTTGATAATCATATAACAGAATGAAATTTTTTTTATAAAATCTACATTATATTTTTTTTTTTGGTCATAAGATCTACATTACTTAACAAGCATCTCGGTAGAGTGTTCGTAACGTGAATATAGAAGAAAGGTCTCGCCCAAGAAAAATGGAAGATAACTTTTTGGTTAAAAGACGAGAAGGCAGGGGTTGTTGCTTAAGTAGACTTTGGACAATGGATAGGTCTCATTACATTTTAGCTCGAATGGGGCACTTGGGCTTTAGACTTGTCTCGAGAAGCTTTTTATTTTTGCGGAAGTTCGAAATTCATGAAAAAGCTGTGATTAAACAATTTCAAAATTTTCTTTTCAATAAATGTTATATATTTCGGACAAACATGTCCGTCGGAAGATATCCGTTCCGTCCTATCGTTATGTCTGTTCACGATACACATTACTTCAGTGTTCTGATGTCAGAAAAGCCATTCTAATTTTTGCGTGTCGGTATCGAGAGAGCTAGAGAGGTTAAGTTGTATCCGGCGAGGATTGTCGCCTCGGGAGAGTGATTTCATACGCATCCTAGTCGAGCAATTCCATTTCTGCACAGCTTGTCTTTCACACTTTATACATTTTTATTCTTTTTGCAACTATCAAATTTCTTGAGAAGACGCATTTCATATGCATATTTGCCACACGCTAGTTAAAAAGAAACATTAGGTCCCATTTCATGGGACCTGCTTTATTTCTTCCTCCCTAAATTGTCTATTTTAAAAAAATATATATTACATGTATGGACAAAAATGTAAATTAAAAATCAACGGATATCCAATTTTAAGAAACCCTTTTTGGATCAGAAAAAGGGTCCCTACTTTCAAGCAGCTACTTTTCCCTAAAAAAAATAATATTTCTTTGTATCCATTTCGTAGATATTGCTCCCGTGAATATATTTATAAATTCTCAAAGAAATGATTATATTCAAAGGCCTAATTTCCTTTAAAAAAAAATCCAAACTTTAGGTTGAATCCTGATTCTAGCCTGAACTTTTTTTTGTCTCTGAAAAATCCCTAAACTTTAGGTCTAGCCCCAAATCTGTCTCGAACTTTTATTTTGTCTCAGGAAAAACCCCAAACTTTAGATCAAGTCTCAAACCCGCCCTGAATATTGTTTTGTTTAAAATAAAATCACCAACTTTCGATCTATTCTCAAATCTACCCCTATGGTACGGTCCCAACTTTACGTGGCATTTTCACATCGATAACAAATCCCCATCAACAAGGTGAAATGGAAAATTATTTCCAAAATGAAACTGTTTTAAGATATGAAGATTAGGGACGAGTAATGATGATTTCTCGACAGAGTACTAATGAGAAAATTTTGGGGCTAGAGTAAAAATGGGTGATTTTTTCTTAGATAAAAAAAAAGTTCGGGATAGATTTGGGATTGGATCTAAAATTGGGGGTTTTTCTTTAGACAAAGAAAAGTTCGGGACATATTTAACACTGGATCTAAAGTTTGGGGCTTTTTTCTAGAGACAAAAAAAGTTTCGGGACGAAATTGAGACCGGACCTAAAATTTGGGGTTCTTCAGAGAATTAAGCCGGTTTTCAAAATAGCTATCTATAAGTTCATTTTTCTCGCTCCAGTGCATCGAATTTTTTTCACTTCCTACCTATAAACTTAGTTTAGTGGCAGTCAATTAAAATCGAAATATATCTTTCGTTTTTCGTGTATTTTTTTCCATAATTGATATTTAATCCTGGACAGTTCAATATTTAAATATTTCGACCAAAAAAAAAAGACAGCATATAAATATAGATGTAATGAACGACAGGAAAAGCAGTAGCCGCACGCTTGCTATTTTCTCTCTCTCTCTCTCCGCTCTGCTTTGTTCTCTGCCCGTGCTTCTTTCTGCTCCATCGGAGAGACTCAGAGAGAGAGAGAGTGCGGCGGAGGGAGGAGGAGCGGACCGTCAGGCACGGCGGTTCGACGCGTCGGCTAAGATGGGGCGACCGCTTTGAAGTACCTCGCCGCCGCCGCTTCTCTGATGATAGATCCAAGCAGTCTCGGAGAGATCCAAACGGCATGGCACGACCATGTCTCCGCCGAAAAGCGCTGTTTCTGTTTCTGTTTCTGTTCCTCTGCGTGCGTGAGTAGAAAGTAGCTCCAAAATCGCTGCAAATTTCATCGGTCAAACCGCACCCACCACCACGACCGGGAAAACGACGAAGTATCCGTGATTATCCCCTGTCGCCATCCTCCTCTCTACCGTTCTCTCTCTCTCTCTCTCTCTCTCTCTCTCTGCTTCCTTCGGTCTCTGTTTCGGGTCACGCGTGCTGTACGTGTACATACCTCTTGTAAAATATCCTCGCTTTCTGCTGATGCCAGTTGAATTGTTACTGTCGATACACCCGCTTCCCACCCCCCACCATTTTTAGCTTATATAATTATTTAGTTGCTAACTTCGATGAATTCACGAGGTGGGTTTTGCTAATCTTGATTGCTTCAGTTCAGTCTCCGTCTCCCAGGTGTCTCCTGAATATATAGAGAGGTCCCCGTGAGATATTCGTTGCACTGTTCTTGCTGTGTATGTGATTAATGCTTCTTTGCGCAAGTCCACCTCAGAAAAGCGTGTCCTTTCTATCGCCTCTTTATCCAATTTTATCCAAAGTTTCTCTCTTTCTGTAATCCCAGGTATTTCATACCAAATTGTACCCTTAATCCGATCTTTAGCTTTTTCCATTCCGGGTAGTTTTGGATTTTTGGGTCCAATTATACTCTACTACCATTTTTGTTTGTCAAAATCTCCGTTTTTATCTTCCCTCATCTTTCACTGCAAACGCTATATAATGACCAAATTCTATCTGCTCTGTGTGGTTCTTCAGAGCTTGATTTTGCACAATACAATCCAGTGCAGTGCCAAAAGAATGAAGGCTTTTTGTTTGTTTCAGTTGTTAATCTTGCTTGTTTCGATCAATGGTGCTTTGTGTAAGGAGTGTACCAACATTCCTACTCAGCTTTCATCACACACACTTAGATACGAGCTCTTATCATCGAACAATGAGTCATGGAGAGAGGAGATGTTCTCGCACTACCATTTGATTCCGACGGACGAGTTGGCTTGGTCCAACTTGTTCCCAAGAAGATTCTTAAGAGAAGAACAGGAATTTGAATGGATAATGACATACCGGAAATTGAAGAATTCTGCTGAGTCTAATTCACCAGGGGACTTCCTTAAGGAAGTATCGCTGCATGATGTGAGATTGGATCCGAGTTCAGTTCAATGGCGGGCGCAGCAGACAAACCTAGAATACTTATTGTTGTTGGATGTGGATAGTTTGGTGTGGAGCTTTAGGAAAACGGCGGGTTTGCCGACACCGGGAACGGCCTATGGTGGTTGGGAGAAACCGACTTGCGAGCTCCGGGGTCACTTTGTAGGTTAGTTTGGTTCCTAATTACTTTAGCTCTTTTGATTTTTATTTTTATTCCCCTTTGTCGTTGAACTGGTTAGTCATTGTGTTACTATAGTCTAGTGATGTGCTTGTTCTGGAACACATCATATGACATGAATGGATGATCTCTTCTCTCTGGCATTAAGTGTTCCTGTTCCTTGGCTGAATTATGTTTTGGCGGGATGCCATCTCTAACACTCCATGTCATACACTTAGTAACAATTAGTTTTTTTTTTTTTTTTTTGTGATGATTTTCGTGTTAGTCTCAAAAGGAACAGGTTTTGTTTCAGTAGGAATAGGTGGTGGAGAAGGTAGCATGATATTTGAATATTTTATTGGATCACTGAAATTTTGGTGTTTGCTCTGGTTTGTCTCGCATAATATAATCTAGAGAGCCCTATTTAGGCTGAGGATCTTACTTGGAGTAAGATATTCTCATGATGTGGCGTTGTTTATTCATTAAGTGCACAATTAGAGCAGTATGTCGTTTTTAGGACCATCTGATTATCAAGCAGTTACTGGACTGGACTTCTATATTGATTACTTAGGATCCAAGATTGGATGACAATGAAGTTGAAATTAGCTCGTGATCTTTCTGTCACTATTGTTTGAGTATCTTGCTTTCCTGTTTTGTAGGGCATTATTTGAGTGCGACGGCACATATGTGGGCAAGCACTTACAATGATGGTATTGGAGAGAGAATGTCTGCAGTAGTGACTGCTCTAGCTGCCTGTCAAGAGAAAATGGGCACGGGATATCTTTCGGCTTTTCCATCCGAGCAATTTGATCGTTTCGAAGCTGTCAAACCAGTCTGGGCTCCATATTACACCATTCACAAGGTACAGTACTCGAGTGTTTGGGATTTTTTAATGCAGCACTCCCTGTTTTGATTGGAGTCTGGTAAGCTTTAAAGTAACGTCTTGGGTATCTACTTCGACAGATCATGGCGGGCCTTCTGGATCAATATACACTTGCTGGCAACAAGCAAGCTTTAAAAATGGTTACATGGATGGCTGATTACTTCTACAGTCGTGTGCAGAATGTGATCGCAAAATACTCTTTAGAAAGACACTGGCTGTCGCTCAATGAAGAGACTGGTGGCATGAATGACGTCCTTTACCAGTTATTCACCGTAACGGTATATGAACTACAAGTTTTTTTGCGCAACTGCATGTGAACTTGATCCGGGCTATTGTCTCTTGATTGATTCGAGACAAAGCTGTATTGATCAATTTCTCTGGTGATACACTAGATAGTCATAGATCAATCCAATGCCCTTCTCAGAATTTGCAATATCGGTTGCCTTTAGTTGTCTGAGAAAGTCATGCCCTTTCTTGCCTGATGATTAGAGTCACAAAATAAATCTTTGGGAGGAAAATAGTTTTTTTGATAGCTAATGTGAGTGAGCAGAGAAGTGTTCTTTCTCTGCATTTAAAGAGGAAATGGCTATCAATCGTAACATTTATTGAGAGGTTCTCGCATATTTTTAAATCAGAAAGGTTTTGCTTGGTGAGCCCTTTTCATTGTACTGTAGCACTTCACTTATCTCGAAAGTTGTAGAATTTAAACCTGACTTTGTGCTTTTACTTTTTTGTTGCAGAATGATTCCAAGCATTTATTGTTGGCTCATCTCTTTGACAAGCCTTGCTTTCTAGGATTGCTTGCTGTGCAGGTAAAAACCATTATTGTTTCATCAGTATTCTCATCATGTTACTCTGAGTCTTCAGAGAACATGTAATATTTTTCAAGCGCTCCAATGTTTTTTGAGGTTCAGAGAGGAACATTTAAAGCTGGATGAGTCCTCTAAGTTAGATTTGTAACCGATGGTGCAAGCCTGCAAGGAATTGCTATATTACACTTTGTCATTTTGAGGACATATATGCGTGTATTTCCAAGTTACCTTTTTCATGTGTCTCTGTGTTTTGCTTCTTGGTGTCTCCGATGTTGATTCTCTCTTTTTCTAGGCTTTCAACAATTTGGTTCCATGCTCAGTAAAATATGTAAAAGCTTCACGGAAGTTATCTTGTTTGACCTGCAGGCTGACGACATAACTGGTTTTCATGTGAATACTCATATCCCAATTGTTATTGGATCCCAGATGCGTTATGAAGTTACTGGTGATCCACTATACAAGGTAACATACTTTGATTTTCAAATTGTAGGATAGCATGAAAAGGAATTTTTACTTACGAAAACAACTGTATAGAACATCGTGTCTTCCAGATCTCAGCGACCTTCTTGTTTTCTCAGAGAAGGCTGCTTTCTTCGAGATTTACTTTGTGATAAATTACATGTTTAACCTAGTTGTTTTTCCACGCTTTCAATGGTTATACATCTCATCCTTTGAGGTTCGCAATGTTTTGTCTAATGGCTTTTTGGTAACTTTTTACACCAGACTATAGGGACATTCTTCATGGACATTGTGAACTCCTCTCACAGCTATGCAACAGGTGGCACATCAGTTGGGGAATTCTGGTATAGAATGAATTCTGAAGGAGAATTAGATTCAAGTTAAATATATATATGTAAGTATATGTCTGCGCAGGCATGCGTGTGTCATCATGGTAATCCTCTTTATCTGTTGGTCTGACAGGACGGACCCAAAGCGTTTAGCGACCACTCTCGAAACAGAAAATGAAGAATCATGCACCACATATAACATGCTGAAGGTAATCTGAATACTCTGACTAACACTATACTTGGTCTCCTATGGAAGTGATTTAGTCAGGATATATTTTCTCTTTTGACTGTGCAAAGGAAATTTTGACGCAGTATTTTACAATATACTTCAGAAGTTGCAATATGTAAGCATGGTCTAATGTCTACTGTTGGTACAAAGCTAATCAACTAAGACCTAGATTACGTCTAGTTGTTTGTCATAAACCTTTTAATCCATCCCAAGTGATGGCTCCATTTGTTTAGTTATGCAAGTTTATTAGTTGACCGACTCTTTTGCGTCTGCTGAGCTTGGTTTATAGGTGAGTCGCAACTTGTTTAGATGGACAAAAGAAGTTGCATACGCAGATTATTATGAGCGAGCATTGACAAATGGCGTGCTGAGTATTCAGAGGGGGACTGAGCCCGGTATCATGATCTACATGCTTCCTTTGGGTCGCGGGGTGTCCAAGGCCAGAAGCTATCATAAATGGGGAACTAAGTTTGACTCCTTCTGGTGCTGCTATGGGACAGGTCTAAAATCGAATAGCTTTCTCAGTGATCATTTTCTCAGTAATATGGAGTCTGCGGATATTGTGATTTGTTGAATATGACTCTTTATTCAAGTTGTTTTCCAAACTTTCTTTGGTTCTTTTTTTCAGGAATTAGCCACATATTATCTTGTAGTTTCCCTACTAACATGATGGGTTGTATTGTGGAGTTTGTCCATTACATGATCTTTTTCTTTCTTTGTGTTTGTAGGAATTGAGTCGTTTTCAAAATTGGGAGACTCTATATATTTTGAAGAGCAAGGAGAAGTTCCCAGTCTTTACATAATTCAATATGTATCGAGTTCACTCAACTGGAAAGCAGGGGGAACTGTGATCAATCAGAAAATCGATGCTCTGTCATCGTGGGATCCTTATCTTCGAGCAACATTTACTTTTTCGTCAGAGGTACTTCTTACTGGGCAATGCATGACGAGCAGGCAGAATTTTACCTGCCTAAGCTGCCTTTCCATTGTCTTTCCTTCAGATGTAATCAACTTAATTGCTGCGTCTTGTGCTTATGTTGCAATGACTTTAAATCTGTTGCATTCTTTACTTCAAAGCATCCGCATTGGCTAATGGCCACAAGAAGCAACCTCCTTTCATTTTCCTATATACATATTGATGATGCCGAAAGTAGATAAATAGAAGAATGATGGCATTGTGCACATACTATACTGTGTAAAGTTAATTCGTCGAATTCACATTTCGGAAGCAAATTATCTTCCGGAGTATCATGAGTCTCATATTAAAGCTACCACATGACAATAAAATCAGCTGTCCACGCTGAATACACGATTTTCAAATCTTCCTTAAATCACGTATAGCATCTCCTGAAATTAGTGTGAATTCATCTAATTCAATTAACACACGTGAGATTAGTCTATTTTGGATTCTAGCGTTTTTTTGGCAGTGTTTGGTTTCTTATTGTTTCTCCTCTCCTACTTATTTCATCAGACAGCAGGACAGTTGTCTACCCTGAATTTCCGAATACCGAGTTGGGCTTCTTCAGATGGTGCCAAAGCAGATTTGAATGGAAAAAGTTTAAATCGACCAACTCCAGGTGCGTTTAGTGTTATCAATTCGTGTGCAGCATCCGTTTGATCAGAATTCATTTCTTAGTTTTTGATTGCTCTACATGGCATTTTCCTTTTGAAATTGCAACTCGTCTTTTCTTTTATCAATTGGTTAATTGAAAGCTTCAACCTCAAGAGAAATTAGTTAATGGAGATTAAGAGTTCTGCAAATCGATCCGATTTTTCCCCTGCTACAGTCTAAAATTTGACACGGTCATTTTTAACATATGGTTTGTTGGTGCAGGTAATTTTATCATCATGAAGGAGAAATGGAGCCCCAGTGACAAGCTGACCTTTCAGTTTCCCCTCGGTTTGCGGACAGAGGCTATCAAAGGTACTGTCACGGCTCCCCATTGCTTACAGGGCATATGCTTCTGCAGTCAGGAGCGCTCCCTGAGCAATATCTTTAGGTATTTTCATGTGAAACTGAAAATTTTGTATTAAACTATGTCCAGATGACCGATCCGAGTATGCTTCCGTTCACGCGATACTTTATGGGCCTTATCTTCTTGCGGGCCTGACGAGTGGAGACTGGGAAATCAAAGCCGAGTCAAATGCTTCTCTATCCAATTGGATAACTTCCATTCCGGCTTCTTACAGTTCTCAGTTGCTCTCTCTTTCGCAAGAATCAGGTGGCTCGTCTTATTTCCTGACCAACACGAACCAATCCATCACAATGGAGAAGTCCCCCGAGCCGGGCACTGATTCAGCTGTCCACGTCACCTTCAGACTCGTCTCCAAAGACCCCACTGCTTTAGGAATCAGGTCACGAGGGGGCATCATCGGGAAATCGGTGATGCTCGAACCTTTCGATTTTCCCGGAATGGTGGTGGTGCAAAAAGGGAAAGATGAGGACCTTGTAGTCGAGGGATCAAGCAAGGGCAGCTCATCCCTCTTCCGCGTGGTCGCAGGACTGGACGGGAAGGCGGAGACCGTGTCCTTGGAGTCGGAAAGCCAGGAAGGTTGCTACATATACACGGGGGTGAACTTTGGCGAGGGTTCCAGCGTAAAGCTGGGGTGCGTCTCGGATTCCTCTGACAGTAAGTTCAACAGTGCAAGCAGCTTTACATTGGGAGACGCCATAAGGTTGTATCATCCTATGAGCTTCGTGGCGAAGGGCGCAAAGAGGAACTTCCTCTTGGTGCCGTTGATGAGCTTGAGAGATGAATCGTACACCGTTTATTTCAACATCCAGTCCTGAAAGATGGTTTGTATAGAAGTACCCCGGAATAAGAGAAGGATGCTTGGTTAGTATATTCTAGTCTTAGCTTAGTGATGACGCCTTTTATGTTCGGCCGGCGGCCGCACATTTCTCTGGCTTACCCAGATTTGCCTAATGGTGGCGAATTACTCTGTTCTTCTGGTTTGCATTGCCGGGTTTATGGGTTTTCACATGTTACCAGATCAGATCAGAATGATCAACTGCAGTTTATATGGAAAAAAAAGCGGGGTTGATGTAATTGCACTCTCTTTGCGTCTCTGCTAATTTCTGGTCGGAAAGGCCACTCTGTTTGGCATTCGCGTCTGCTTCTTTCCTTTTCGATCCGAGACCATGCCAATGCGATTTGAGTCGGGTGTATCGATTGGTCTCCAAAAACCAAAACACAATACGAAAGAGGAAGGAAGAGCCTAACATGACGCATGGATTTCGTTAACGAATTCCCCGGGACCACTTGTTAAATGACCCGGACTATAGGATTTTTAATTCACTAATTTTCCTCGTGTTAACCATAATGACTGCATCGAAAATTGATTTATTCCAAATAAGGTTAAACCTTGGTTCCGATTTTCGCCGCGGTACATTTTACTTTTATACAATTGATAATGATCACATCGATCGGATGGCGAAACTAAGGCAATATCCGACATCAAATTTGAAGTCACGCATGTGGTCGCATCGGTACAAAACATGTCCATGTCGAATGTCACTTCATCGTGAGTTGTCGACGTAACATCATTGGATCATTCATTGCATTACCAGCAATTGCAGTGGCTCCCCCCGAATTACACAACAACCTCCTCTAAAAGACATCATCGCTATTATTAATTTCATGCAGCATTTACGTGCATGAAGATCTTCATATTCTCAATCATTAACACCGTAATTTAATACGAAATCATGCTAGCATCATATCGTCTCACCGACATTTTGTGCAAGCTCCATGTTCACTGTTCCCACCAAATTGCAGCCCAAATTCTCATAATTTGTCCTAACAAGCCTTTAGTGGCTTCCCACAGAGGCAGTCGTTGTGCTGGAACGACGAGGCTTCGAGGTGGTCGAACGGCGATCCCGCCGGGATCTGCCCGCACAGGTGGTTGTGGCTCAAGTCCATGTGCCCGATGAACGATGCCGCCGATACTGACTTTGGGATCGGCCCCTGCAGGTTGTTGTGGGAAAGGTCCAGCACCGTGAAGTACGACCTCGGCCCGAACACGTCGGGTATCGGGCCCTGGATGGAGTTCCGGCTCAAGTTCAGGTTGCTCACCGCCGAGTTGATCAGGCTCGCCGGGATCGCCCCCGAGATTTGGTTGTTATCCAGGTTCAGCGTGGCGAGGACCGGCATATTACCGAGGGAAGGTGGGATTTGGCCGGAGAGCCGGTTTGAGGACAGGTCCAGATCCGCCAACCGGTATATTTGGGATATGGATGCCGGGATCGACCCGGTTATTTGGTTCCCGCTCAGAAGGGCCCGGCTCAACATCCTCAGCTTTCCAAAATCTTGGGGCAGCGGACCCGAGATCCGGTTATTCCTCAAGTCGAGGTGCATCAAGCTCGACAGGCCCGCCAGGGAGCTGGGGATCCGACCCGTTATCATGTTATCCGCCACGTTGAGCACCGTCAGCCGCTTCAGCCTCCCGATGTCCGCCGGAATCTCGCCCGACAGGCGGTTCCCAATGAGGTCCAGGATCCGGAGGTACGGCAATGAGGCGAGGCAGGCGGGTATCTCGCCAGAGATGCCCTTCCAGTCGGCGATGGTGAGGCTGGAGAGGCGCTCGAGCCTGCATATCTCGGAAGATATCGTGCCGGTCATGTAGCCGGTCCGCTTGGCCCTCTCGAAGATGGGGTCCTCGGACTCGCCCCGGAGGTTGATGTCTGCGACGCGACGGGATTCGGGGTCGCAGCTGATGCCGTACCAGTTGTGGCAGCAGTCAGGGCCGGTCCAGGAGTTGAAGATGCCAAGGTAGGGCTCGTGGAGCGCTGCTTTGAAGGAGAGCAGCGCCGCCTGGTCCGACGGCGGGCAGGCGGCAGTGAGCGCAACAAGTAACGACGCAACAAAAATTACTTGAAGAAGACTCATCCTCTCTTGCAACCCAATTCTCTGTTCTTCTAGCTATCTACTGTGATGCCTCTTTTGTTCAGGAGTACAGAGGAAAACAGAGGGAAGATCAACCGAGTGCTAGTGAACTAGTGAAAGCTGAAGATTGATGTTCGGGACATAAGGACTTGACATAGATTATATAGGCTTATATATATACTATCCGTGTCTCCTGACGATTTTGCCCCGAACGGAGCATGTGTGATAGGATTGCATGCTGAATAGTACTAGGGTAATAAAGAACTATTGAAAAATCCTGGCTCAGTACTCGAGGATCTATACAGAGATTAATATACATAAGTCGATGTATTAAACTACGTGATTTAACGTTCGATCAGAGGGGGTCTGTTACATCATGTGTACGATTCCATTTGCCGATCTTGTCGTCCACGACTGTTTTCAGAAATAATGCAAGAGTCTGTAGGTCCATTGCATTGTAAGGACCATATGCAAGTTCTGCAACTTACAGACTGGAAAAGCCCGTGGCTGTCCAATGGGGTGTCTGAATGTCTGTTCAGCAGTGAAAATACCAGAGTCTTGCCATGTCATTTTGTCCAATTTCAGTGCAATAATTGTCTCTGCCCATTTGCAAAAAACTCAGTGCAAAGGAAACCAATTTCAATGGGAGATTCAAAACTGTACTGTGCGTTTACACTCGACACTGTTTGGCAAGCTAAGATGGACCCAGAGAAAGAAGCAGACAGAGAGAGGGAGAGAGAGATAGAGGAGAGAGGGAACATTGGATGTGTGAGTGGTGTAGAAGGGACACGAGTCTTGTGGATTGCATTTCCTTCAAGGACACTCCATCTTCTTTTTTGTCTGGTGACGAAGAAAATATCCAGCAAGTTGCAGAGAAAAACGAGGTATCTGCTGAATTTGGAACCCATCTGTTGCCATGATCTCGGGCAAGATTGTTTCTTTGAATGATTTTCTTATCTTCTGCTGAATCCCCTCCATGAAAATGGTTAAAGAAACAGGAAAGACGCACTGGTTGTGAGCAAGCTGACAGGTTTTGTTTTTCCTTGGATTTCGCAGAGAAATCCGAAAACCCAGCTGGTACCAGAAAAAATTAATGGTTTTCCATCGCCCTGGATATATAAACTATAGTTGCAGTCATCTCACTGTCGCTTGGGAATTGGGATTTTCTTCTTTATTAACATTAACTTTCAAACTCTGGCATCCACCGGCAATAAATCGCGACGGCAACATATATATGAGCGAGCGGTGGCGACTTGAACAGGGTGTGTATTAGATATGAGACTTATAGGCTCTTGAAATGATGAAACTGGATCACAACTCTGCATCTATCTATTGTAGAGAGATGAATAAAACTCACATGATTGGGAAAAGAACTTGTAATCTTCAAGATCTGAACTTACTCAGTGCCTTCACTTCATTGAGCCTAATGAGAAAACACAAAAGAGGGGCTGTTATGCTTCTCCAAATATAGATCGTGTTATTGTATGAATTGGACTTCTGGCACCACTTCGCTGCTTCTCATTGAGAATGTCGGGAAGCAGGAATTTCGATCATCTGATCCCGAGAAAATCGCACCAGAGAATGACGATGTTTACAGTGCCCAGAAGTAGAAATCGCATTTTGTTGAATTCGCCATTTGCTTATTCTTCCATGCAACTAGACTTCAATTCCACCATTGGCATGTTCTCCGTTTTTGGTAATTATCCATGACGAACTCAACCAGGACAATTAGTAGTCTTCATTGATCGTGAACCAGAATGTAACTAGCATGAGCATCCTTCTTCCCTAGAGCAAGCGAAGGCAAGACAGACACTCAAGAACCGAGTAGCAAGGCCAAGTCCCCTTTCCAATACCAAGTCGCGAGATCAATGGACCGAACAACCACTGTTACTCACTGAAGCAGAGGAACTAAAATGCAGAAGGCGAAATCAGGACCGCGGAAGCGGCTGCATGAACTCGCACTCATCTTTCGCTTAGTCCAGTCATGATGATCACAAACGATTTGTTGTGTATGATTGTATCTTATAGGAAGATTAGCTAAGCCGCTACCCATTCAGCTCGGCAATCAGCAACATACTTCTTAACAATGACTCACTCGGTCTGTTTGTTCCTGTCAATACATCAATGCACACTCTCCATCCTTCCATAGTCCTCAATCTAAACAAGAAGTTAGATCCAATTTCTGCAGTACAATACCGCCAATTTCCCCTGCTTAAATATCTTTGATCTCTCGTTCTCTCAAGATTGAACGGTTTCGCAGTTCTGACTAGTTCAGGTGCTTACTGGTTGAGTCAACAACCGAAACTCCGGACTTCAGCGGAACGTGCTGGAATAGTTCACATGGCTGTGCACAAAACATGGCATCGAACATGACCATTCATAATGTTGACAAGACAAAGCCAGGGCCATTAAATCAACCTATGGCTCGTTCTTGTTTAAAACATACGATGAGGTCGGACAGTGAGCCATGTTAACCCGTTTAACAAAATTGTGGGCATAATCAATGGAAGATCTCAAGGTGTCATGTAAACTCTTTTGCAGCAATTACAGGAAATGGCATGCTGATGATTTCCTATAAACTATTCGAATGCCGCGGATTCTAATAGATGTTCAAAAGTAGAGAAGTTTAACGCCTTATGTTTTTAGTTTCATCTGATTTGGAATACATTTGACAGTTGATTACAGATTTTCGACCTCCACCAAACCCACAATATGCACTTGAGCTATCCCCATAACACAGATGAAATGCAGAAGCAGAAGACTGAGAAAGAAAGAAACACGATTAAATGTAAGCAGCAAAGAATGAATTATTTAACTCATCTGAACAGATTAAAAGGAGGCAAAAGGGAAAAAGAAAAAGGGCCCTTTCCTACCTTTCCACAAATTTACAGAACACAGCAGAACATTGAGCTGTCAAGGCAAATGACTGTCGTGCAACTGCATCGAAGCTACGTTTTGGAACTGTGTAGATGGAACATTATGAAACATTGTTGGCACCAAATTATGCAATTGCATCGGCACCATGCCGTGTAGATGTACTGTTCTCACCTGGGGAACCTCCTGCAACACAGAGAAGAAAAAATTCATCATGAACGTATCGATTGATAGAAAGTGCATGCCTACTGGTTATCCTAGCAGGCTAGCACTAGACATTGGCCTTATCAAAAAAATGCACTAGCAGCGATATCTACAACCCAATTGTATAACACTGCAGCCCTAAAATACCATGCCTATCAACTTGATTGGCCCATTATCTGACCCAGTATCAACTAGGGGTGAGCATTTTACAAGTTCTACCCTAGAACCTGAGAACCTGACCAGTAGGAACCTGCATGTTTCAGGTTCCAAGGTATGCAGGGTAGGTTCCAGGTTCCAAAAATTGGGGAACCTATTTCGACGGACAGGTTCCAGGTTCCAGGTTCCAGGTTACACCTGGAACCTGAAACCTAAACAAGTTTTTTGTGTTTTTTCTTGGTCAATATCTTCGCGTGATTCTGCTGTGTTTCATGGCGTTAGATGATGATAATATAATCTGGAACCACTACTCTGAGCCTTCATTTTATAACTTGTTAATATTTTATATTCTTCGTGTGTCTAAATATAAGTTGTGGTTAGTGGATTATAGAAGTAAGTGGTGATCATTAAAGGTAATGATTCGCTACAATTGTTCAATTAATAATACAGGAGGAACTTGAGTAGACTCTGAAACCGACTCTCGAACTTGTGATAGGATAAGTTCCGAGTTCCAAAAAATAAGGAACCTATTATCATTGGTGGAACCTATATGGAACCTGGAACTGCTCACCCCTAGTATTGATTCACGCAATGACTTCTCATTTTAGTTATATTTATTTGAACCATAATGTCAGGAAAACTAGCATTTTGTATTCTTTTTGATGAATGACAAGTTTGGTCAGTATTGATATGTTCATTTTCGTTTTGATAAAAAATAAAAAAATAAAGAACCCGTTAGACCCTGGAACTTACCTTGGAACCTGTGACAGGGTAGATTCCAGGTTCCAAAAAATGAGGAACTTGTACCCCGAGGATAGGTTTCAGGTTCCATGTGGAACTTGTAAAGAACCTGGAACCGCTCAGCCCTAGTATCAGCATAGCATCTTAAGATTGATCACAGGCCAGAGCTTTTAGAATATTAACGCTCGCATAAGTCTGTGTAAAAGGAATTAAATCACGAGCAGAAATCCTACAAAGTGAGCTTGCCAGACTCAACCTACATTCCTGTTCAAAGAAAAAGCCCATGTTATTTAGTGATAGCCTAAAAGGAAGAGCGACAAACCATTTGATGAAGACCATCTTGCGCCATGGCTCCAAGAAGATCAGGCTCCGTTATCTGTAACATCAGAAAGCCATTTCTGAAATCGCAAACGATTGAAGAATCCAACGGGGACGTGATTTACAGTGAAACAGATGAATAAGCATAGGCACGTTTGATTGTATGTAAGCTGTACACACATACTTGTCACAAAAATGACTACTAAATAATTGTACAGAAATTGAATCACAAACCTTTCCTTTTCTGCTTGTATTCTTACTTCTGTTGCTGGCTTTAGGATCAGGTACCTGCTCTTTGGATGTACTGCATTGGTTCTCTTCTTCAGCATTGCAGATTGCATGGACTGTTGAGTTATTAGGACGCGCTTCATTCTCGGCCGGAGTATTTACACTTGCACATTGCTTGAGAGCTGCCATGATGGCACATAATGCAACATCGTAACTCTCTTGAGAAAGAGACCCTTCTTCACCCAATATTATAGCTCGTCGACACAAATCGTTGTAACGACGCACTTTGGACTGCATATCCTCCAATTTTTCACCGATGGGATGCCTGCTTAGAGCAGCATTAGTCCAGCGCTGCAGAATGTATCTCAACGGAATGCTAAAAACACCAGACATTTGAAGAACAATCATAGCGTGCCTGCACAGGTACCCTTTGTATTCAAATGAATGGCATGAACAATATAGACTCGATTTCGACTCGTTCCATTCCACAACGTAATTCCGATCATCTTCAAATTCTTTAACATTATATATTGTCGCTCTCTCATCTTCACTTTCTTTCTTTAGATGACAAGCAGCTGCTCCCAAGACCTCAATCTGAAATTTTCTAAAGATTTCATGAGTATAAACTAATGACATTTGCTTCTCAAAAGGTGAAGGAGACTTCAACTCAGGTGCCTCATGCCATGCGTCAAAATCTGCTTTTGCTTCCTCCTCATACCTATCTTCAAGAATAACCTTGTATTTTTCAATGAATTCTCGTAATGAAGTTTCCCCATTTACATATTTGTCAAACCAGGAGTTCAGACTTTCCGCACGTGAAAAAGCAGACAACCCAGCAAAAGATATATCTCTCATGAAAGTAGGTGCCCATTGCATACGGTCCTCATAAAACAGTTGGACCCATTCAACCCCTCTAAGGTTAAATCTGTCAAGTAATTTCCACCATCTCTTCTCAAATTCTGCTTCATTCCATGATCCAAAAATACATTTGTTGAATTTTGCAACAAACGTGTCTTGCCAAACGCCCAAGTACTCAAGCTCTCTAGGAATTCTGTCTAATATATGCCACAAACAAAAACAGTGACGAGTATGTGGAAAGACAGCTGCAGCAGCCGATTTTATGGCATTGTTTTGATCAGTAAGTATCACCTGCGGTGCATGTTCTCCCATTGCCACCAGCCATGTTTGCATCAACCAAGCAAATGTATAAGCAGTATCATCCGCTATCAATGCAGAACCAAACAATGTGGGTTGACAGTGATGGTTCACTCCAACAAAAAGTACCAGGGGCATTTTATACTTATTTGCAAAATACGTAGTATCAAAAGAAACTACGTCCCCGAACTTGGAATAATCTTCTATGCCTTTGGCATCAACCCAAAAAACATTTCTCAGTCTATGCTCTTCGTTCAGATCAATTGCATAGAAAAATTTTGGGTTCTGTTCCTGCATATGCATAAAAAATTCAAGCAGCAGTTGAGCATCACCAGCCTCTAAAACCAAGCTCCTCCCTTTATCGTGTGGGTTTCTCAAGTAGTTATCTAAGTTATCAAGAGTTTGGTATGAACCGAACATTTTGGACATTGAAGATAGATTTTTCCGTTTCCGCATGCGGACATCATTCTTCACTAGATCAGCATCTCTGTGGCTCCGGAAAAAATGCACTTGGGCAGGTAAAAGCTCATGATTATGCTCCTTCACAAAACTATAAACAAACCATTTGCCATTCTGCCTTCTCTTCACGTGCATGCTTGCCTTACAACCTATTTTAGGAGAAGGTCTTGGGTTAATGGCATCATCTGACTGCTGCTTATTCCCATATCGTATGCACGAAAACTTGGCATCAATAAATTCTTTCGATGCTCTAGACCGGCGACTACTCAATTTGGCAGTACCAAAACCTGCAGCTCGTGCATACTCTTTATAGAAAGCATATGCATCTTCATGTGACTCAAATTCCATGTCATCACGAGGTTCTGCAATTGTATTGGCTGTGACCTTATCAGATTCCATCTCCACATCCCCAATACTTAAAATCCTCTTCACACATTCAAGTCTACCACACTCTACTCAATGATTGCACTCAGTCTCTCACTTCTCAGACAATCTCCAGAAACTGTTGCATCTTCCAAGAGAGAGAATTCATCATGCAATGCTCTTTCTCAACACTTGTATTTGTCCACTTTGGAGTTTTTGCCCTCTAACACTCTGGCTACGCAAAAGAAGAAAAAACACTTATTCCTTCAACACGATTGAGATTATGCACAAAGCACAATGTACAACTGTTAAATGAGGAAATGACTGCTAAAAGCTATCTATGATTGAATAGCACACTGACCTTATTTTTTCTTGTCTAAGAAAATCTACTGTTAACCAAAAAAAATTCCTAGATGGATTTTATACATCAAATATATCAACTACCTTGGAGAAAAGAATTAGTTTGTTTGGTAGAGCCATTTCATTAATAGCTGTCAAAAATAAATAAACGAAAATCCTTGCCACTCTCCCATTATCTCCAATCTCCACGTTTTTCTATCCATTCACGCAAAAACCAACACCCTCTCTCTCCATTCACACAGAAACCAACAAATTCTCTCTTCCTCTCTCTCGCATGCATGTATCTGTGTGCTTCAAGACTAGTATATGACAATAAAAATGTTGCACACACTCACTCATCAAGATATCCAGCTTCAATCGTTAGGCATAAAGCCAGGAGAATAAACCTAACACATGTTAAACTACGGGCAAACCAAATCGATCTTCTAATCAACAGTAGGGAGAGTTGAAAATCTATAACCAGTTTATATGAATGCAATAACAAGAAAATACAAAATGTTTTAATCTGTAGACGAAACAACCACAACCTTCTCCCCGGTAGTTTATTAGCATATCTCAGTCCATAAAGAAATTAAAGATCTGAGATCAATGACGATCCACAAAGCATTAAGTTGGCATTCGTAAACGATACCTTAGGGAGACAGCCATACATTCACTCAATGCCTACAAACTCACAGTTTGGAGTACAACTATGAGAAGAAGTATTCAAGAGACCTGGCTTTTTCTTTCATCCTTATCATAGGGTAATACTTCAAAGGACTCAGCTCATCAGATATCTGCTCTGATTGCAGAGCAACTTCACCAATTTTTCTTTTGTTCTGCATCATTTTGAAGAGAACTCCTTAGCTTCCTCCTTATAAAGACTGTCTTCGAGTTACAAAAAGTTCTCATTACAATGAGAAGCTTTCGTTGAGTCTAACAATAACTCAAGGTACTTCAAGCCTCACATCCTACATTAATAACTAAAGTTGTGAATAAATGCTTGCATATTGAAATAGCTGAATGATGAGTGGAGGATATCCTATCGCTGTTCTGTGTGAATTGTCTCGCGGTAAGATTCCAATTCCAAAATGGATTTTGTTAAATATCCGAATAAAAACATTTTTTCGTTTCCCAAGTACTAATTGTCTTGTGCTATGCACAATCAGTGCATTAAAAACGAAAACATTTTTTATTAGGTATGGTTAACAAGTGCCCTGGGTATGGTCGAAAAGTGACCTGGGGGTTCTCGTTACCAAGACCCTTCCAAAAATCGTCCATTGCCTTCAACTCCTAAAACTCAAACAACAGCAGATTTACCCTGTCCATGTCGGGTGGAGCTGTTAACACGCAGCGATAATGGTTCGACCTAAATACACAGAAAATTTAAACATTTCCCAAATGGGTAAGAACATCTTAACCTCAGAATGTTCAAAATTAACATCTCGAGTCATTGAGTTCACACAGCCATTTGTCACCGCTTGCTGCATGTACATTCAGCGACAAGAGGAATGTGGTATCGTTAATGATACAGTGTGCTGTTTTATCGGGCCTCTCGTTCCTCACTAACAAAAGCGAGCCGTTTAAGCTCGAATTCCGAATGAACCCGATAACGGTTCTTGTGTTGCCAAACTTTTACTAATCAGGTGAAGACTTTTTCATCCCTCATCTTTCACATGTGACCAACCCTAGGATTGCAAGAGAATAGAAATCTACGAGATTCATCCGGTTGACACACGCAGATGGAAGGATCACAAGTCCATTCGCTCGATACTAACATCATGTAAATGCTCGATCCACCTAGGTTCCGCTCACAACGTACTGAATTTTCCTCTCAAGCAAGAACCTAAGTAACGTAGCCCAATCAAACTTTCAGAGTCGATTATCAAGAATTTTGCACTCCCGACAGCATTACCAAGGAGCCCAATTCAAGAACCGCGCAAGCTAGTCATCAAGAACTCGCGCTCCTCACGACGACGAGCTCCGCTACACACGACACAGAGCGCACAAACATCACAAGCAGCACACAGAACGAATCTTTCTAACCCCGAAATGCACCCAATTCAAGAAACGCGAAAAAGGATTTCAGCATCCCCAGAAGAACAGCTGAAACCACCCCCAATGAATCGTTCTTCAGCCGCATCACTGGCGAGGACCGTACCCAGAACTGCGAGCAAGAGCGAGCGAACTCTCGAAACAAGCCATACGAGCACTCACCGATCACTTCCTCGAGCTGGAGATTAGCGATTTCCCGGAGAAGGAACAGGAGAGAGAGCGGAGAAGGAAGGCGAGAGATTCTTGAAGAAGATGATGATGATGATGATGATGATGCAGGTGGAGTCGGACCCGGATATCCGAATGCTTGCTTTCGGGTCCTTTTTTGGCTGCGGAGCAGAGAAGAGAGGAGGAATCGGGGCTCCGGATAGGTTGTACGGGCACCCGACTGAGTGGTGTTTTTCGGGTCTTACTTTTCACCGCCGTGAATTGTCTCCCGTCTCAAAATTTACCTGTCGCGCCTCCAATGATCAATACTGTATATGCAAGGGTAACATGACTTCGACAAAACGTGTCCTGATATCAATCGGTGAAGATTAACCCAAAAAAAAAAAAAAAGATCAACAATTTTCTCCAATGTCGTTTTTCAGCATGATCAATGCAATAACGACAATCGGTCGAGTAGTCAAACACTTTATTTGCAAGCTGAAAGGTCACAGATTGGATTTGGCGATCTATCTTTGATCCAAGGAAAACCTTGGACAGCCTGCGATTGCTGGACACCAACTCATCCAATGGACAGCTGGTGTTCTGTTAGCGCCTTAAACCAAATATTCAGGCGGACAGGTTCCAACCCTGTCCAAATTCTTAATTCGGTATCAGTTGATGGAAACGACTAGCACACAATAACAAGATGTCCATCGTCCCAATATGATTTGTGCAGCGATAGTCGCATAGGGCGACAAATTAGAAAGGCCTTTTTTTCTTATAAACTGCATGGGTTTATAAGCCTTCGAGCTTGCGTCGTAAGGCCCGTTATCATACAACTTGGTCTATTTCAATTGGGCTTACTGGTTCTCGTGTTTTTGTATGGTGAATTTGAGTACTTCCTGCCGCGAGGGGTACTAAGTGAACCCAAAGGTCCTTGGAATATATTTATGCGGGTCTAAAGTGCACTTTAAACCAAGGTCTCGACTAGGGCCAACAATGCCGAATAGCACCGGCACCGGGTAAAACACGAATTGTATAGGGAAAATTCGGATATGACACAACACGACACGTTTAACTTTACATGTCGACACGAATCAACGCGTTCTCATCCTAAATTTCAATTTTTTTTAGTACGTGAAATCAAAGTAAAGATGTTTCTGGACCTGCACGAATTACAAATATGATCATGACACGCAGACAAAAGTTGTTAACCGTCTCGGCGACATTGAATTATCTATCGACATGAGTTTTACGACAAGATCCGTGTAATCTTTCAAAGTTTGCACGAGTCTCGGAGCGACCCCTGAAGTGTATTCTATCGAGTGTATGGGCATCGGTAGATTTTGGTTCGACACCATCACAGTCGAGAGAGGCTTACATTGACTGCATTTTGACCGAACGAGACCATTGCTCGTTGGGTTTCTTAAAGGTCCCATGCAGTTTATAGAAAAAAAGGGGTATCACATTTTATGCCACCGCATTTGAGAACGTTGATGTACAAATATATAACATACGTTCTCATTCATGGCATATGATATAACAATAGATCAGAGCGACGCGCCAATTGCCTCGTGCCCTTTGGCACGTCGCTCTGATCTTGCGAAAACCCTAGCAGTTTTCAAAACTGCAACGTGGCGATGTATGGTCTCTAAATGTGTGCCCCTCGTTTACCTAAACAGCTGCATGCCGTATACAAACTTTAGTTGCTTCACGAGAATGTCAGCATGCTGTCCCGCAATTCAACTTTTTAACTTACTTATTAAAGACATATCGATCACTCTTCATCCTTGAATGTCCAAATTGTCTACGCTTCAAGATCAGTTGGATCGAATGGACGATGACTCGTGGTATGTATTTGATCGTTTGAGTAGGTGTTGGTTTGCCTACCACCTCTTAACCCTTCTTGGGTCTAGATTGACCAGATGATGGTGCCTGTCTCTCTATATATCTAATCTAAGTGGTTTGGAAGTTTGAAGCAGGAAGAGGAGTTCGGTCAACACATTTGCCAAACAACCACCACCACCACCTTGAGCTGCTCGCTCGATTTCATCCACTCATTTGCACGACTCGGTGATTCAAAAAATAAAAGTATCTCTCGACCTATTGTGACCAACTGAAAATTCAATTGCGTAGAACATGTTTTTATACATATGGGTCACCAAATTGGCGCAACCAAATCAAAGACCGAAAGCGCGGCCCCATCGGACAAATCAGTTAGTTGTGCGCGCCATGCCTTCTTATTCAATCTGCTAATATGTGCTATTGCGTTTAGTCGGGAAAAATACCAAAAAAGTCATAAATCTGTTATATTGGTACCAATTCAGTCATAAACCTTTCAATTGAATTAATTTAGTTCTAAATCATTTCACATTAGTACAAGTTCAGTCTATTCGGTCAATTTAAGCCAGGAATTGTTAACGTGGACGCCAGCCGTCCGACGTGGCACGGCCAACGCTAACGTGGATAAATTTTGCATTTTTTAAATTTTTTTCTTTGTTTTCTTTTTCTCTTTTTTTAACACTTTGGGCCGACGAGGTCTCTGGCCGACCATTGCAAGCCACAAGCAAGGGTTGGCGACCCTCACCTGGTATGGGCGAGGGCCGATGTCCATGTCAACAATTTCTAACCTAAATTAGTTGGATGGACTGAATTGGTCCTAACGTGAAATAATTCATAACTAAATCAATCCAATTGAAACGTTTAGGATCGAATTGATACCAATGCAATAAGTGTAGGACATTTTTTGTACTTTTCCTATGTTTAGTCCTACAATCATGGTGTCTCGACAAATTGATCAAACTTTCTCTTTCATCCATCTCGATCGCCATAAGTATCCCTTCTATCTTCTTCTTCTTCTTATATATGCACAGTGTCAAAGCCTAGATAGATTGGGAAGAAGGAAATCTTTCATTCGAAGTTCCAGAAAAGTGATCGACCAGCACTTCAACATCAAGACTCAACTCCTTTCGTTTTCCTTTTTATTTATTTATTCATTTATTTGCATTTCTAGATAATGTTGGTAAAGTTAATAGCAAAACTGGATTTCCTCTCCACTTTTTCCACAAAGGGGAGACAAAGGAAAAAATTCGATGCTTCTAGTGCTTTGCTTCCGCGGTCCTAATCACTTTTTTTTTTTCTTTTTTTCGGTCGGTAGATAATTCACTTTATTTTTCTTTTTTGGGTCGGTAGATAATATGATTCGCTTTAATTTTTTTTTTGGTCGGACAATTCGCTTCAATTTTTTTTTAATCGGTAGATAATTCACTATAATATTTTTTGGGTCGGTAGATAATTCGCTTTAATGGAGTCCCACGTTTTTGGATGGTTGAGAGAGAGAGAGAGTGGTTGCATCTTGCATACTCTCCTTCCCAATGCCCGGTTTTGGGAATCGGATTCCCCTGTTGGGCAATGCACTGTTCTTGCGATGCGCCCGCAAAAGATGATTGAAATCACAATTGCTCGTGCGAATCTTGATTAATTAAGATTAGATGCCTAAGAGATCTAGATCAATCGAAACAGGAAAACATATGGTTCTCCTGTCTACTCGGGTCGGATTGGGTTGGGTGAATTTGTTCCGTTTCGGGTGCCTTTTACTTTCTTCTTCTTTTGCAATTTTGACTTCTACGAGTATTGCAAATCCAATTAGTATTCAAACGTTGAAGCGCTTACAAACTTTCTAAGTTTGCAAAGGTCTGCATATAGGATCTCACGTGAATTCAAAAGGATATTAAATTTCAAAGAAGAAGTTTGACGAATACCATCTTTTCTCGGAAACAAAACCCAAAGTCGAGCCTAAAAACATCGTTTCTCCTTAGACGTATAGGGTGAGGGTACCGTCTAATTACGAACACTTGGATGCCTAGAGGAGATAGTGGTAGGCTCTTTTACTCCAAAATTTAGGCATGCTTAAGTAGCTGTCAAGTGCTAATGGGGAATCAACACATATTTCCCCATTAGCATTTGTTAAGTATAATCAATGGACGAATGATCTCAGCATTTTGGCTTCTGGCGGTAGATCCGGTTGGTCGGTAAGATAGCCCATCTTCTCTTTGAGTGAAAGGTCCCATAATTAGAGATTTTGTCCAGCCAATTTGATCGTCTCGACTTTGACTTTTGATAAAGCCCCCCCTCTTCTGAACAATTACGTGCACCCTATGTAGCGTGACCATGCTCCCACTCGTGTTTCTAACCGAGCGCGCAACGGTGTTTTGGATTGAGATATTATCAACAAAATTAAGCGGCACAATTGAGCGAGCCAGCATGTCGATTTTACTGTACCCGAAAGAACAAATGGAGGGTCCCAAAAAGGGGACATCTTGTCCCATTAACTAACCCATTGAAGCCGATGATAGGCATGAGTGCGTGACCGAAAGCAACCTATTGATGAAAATGATTGAAAGGAGGGTTTTCTCGGGCCTCTTCGAAGAGAGTGGTGAGAGCATGGAACAAGTGAGGTTCGGATTAGGGATAAGCATGGTCCTAACATAAATCTAGAACCGAAGAACTGGACTGGTGGGAATCTATCCGATTTTGGGTGCCAGGTTTCATGATATATATAGTAGATTCCAAGTTCAAAAAAATGAGAAATCTATTACAATGGGTAAATTCCAGGTGATAGGAGGGAACATGGTTCGGGTAGGTGATTCTTACTTTAGAACCGGGACCATCCACTAAGAACCGGTTTCAAAAAATTGAAACTGGAAACTGCCCGTTAGTTCCATAGATCCACCCGAGAACTGGACCGCCAGTCTGGTCCGGTTCCCGAGTGAGTCCATAAAACTGGTCCCATGTTTGATGTAGGTCCATGGAACCGGTCTGCCTTACTATTTCTTCCAAAGATTGTTTCTTTCCCGAACATTGAAGCATTGAATCCATTGTAGTCTGCTGGTAAGCAGGATAGTAAGATCCTTAGATCCAGTCCATATATGCTAGACACAAATGGATCTAATGACTTTCGGTGTGGATCTCTGTCCACTAAGAAGCACATCAAACTTGGCTATAGTAAAAGGAAAAAGAACATAGAGAACTTGCATTTCCTTCGTAACCGTACTTGGCCTGCCTTATTTTTTTAAAATATATATAGACACACACAAATCGGTCCGATCCAGGTAGGCGGGTAGGCAATTCCACGCCTAGAACCGGGAACCGGACCGGTACTCATCG